GAAAATTTTTTGTTTTTCCCTTAAGAAGAAAAATATGAAAGAAAAGAGAGGGAGGGGATTTGAGGGGGGAGTGAGGGGGCGAAGGGGGAGGAGAAAAAATAAACAAAATTTATGAGAAACGAACCGGTATTAGAAACAAAAACAACAAAAAAAAATTGATTTTTACGACGTTATATATAAAAATACCATTTGAATATTTCACCCAATGAAAACCCTTTCCTCTCCGCCCTCCTCTCACCACCCTCCCCCCCAATAAAAATAATAAATAAAATTACGTAATATGACCTCATAAAGATATATAATTCACGGGATTTAAAAATTTTTTCTAACCTCTACTGGGTTAACAAAAATTTAATAAAACCTTTCAGTGATGAGAAAAAATAAAATTTTTTAAGTAATAATAATAATAATAAATTTTTAAATTTCGAAAAAAACCAGAAGAAAATTTAAAAAAAAAAAATTATTATTATTATTATTATTACGTTTTATCCGAATATGGGAAATATTATGGTGGTGTGTAAGGTCATTGACACGTTTAATACTCGCGATACGCAAATTGTTTCATCAATTTAAAAAAAAAAAATTAACTTCCGCTTCCCTTTTTCGCTTCCTCCCCCTCCCTCACTCCCTCCCCACTTTCCCCTTTTTCATTTCACTTTCACATTTTTTTTTACTTTCTTTTATGACCGATAAAAAATTGTTTAAAATGAATTTAAAAAAAAAAAAAAAATAAATGACGTCGAGAGAAAAATTTTCTTTGAATTCCACCGAGAGAATTTTTTTCATTTTCTTTCAATTTTTATTTACATAAAGCTTTTCTTTCTTTCTTTCCTTCCCCCTCCCCTCCTCCCTCCCCCTTTTCATAATTTAGTCTCTTTCAAATAATCATTTGAAAACACATTTACACCTTGTCAAAAGATAATTTATTATTTAAACAAAATGTCACAACCAAAAAAATCTTTTCTTCTTTTTCTTTTTTATTTATTTCTTCTAAGAAAATAAAAATCATTTTCGCTCCAATAAAAAATAATAATAATAATAATGATATTATTATAAATATTAATAATGATGATGATAATAATAATAATAATCGAGGATAAAAATGTGACCCGTTTTTCAATAAAAAAAAAAACATTCAATCCAATTTTTTTTTTTCATCCACAGGTAAAATCCACAGGTAAAAAAAAAATGACGTGTCGATTAGGGAGGGGGCAGATAAAAGAGAAAAGGTGGGAGGGAGGGGAGGAGCACGAAGGGAATCGGGAGAGATGAAAGAAAAGGAAAGGAAATGGAATAGGGAAAAAAAATCCAATCCGATAGAAAATTTAATTATGAATTTTAATCAATTTTTTTTTTTTTTTTTTTAAATTGAAGAACAAGAAACAATAATAATAATAATAATAGTAAACCACAAAAAAAACATAATAATAATAATGATATCCCTTAATTACTTACAATGTTACAAACGAAAACAAATAATCATTACAACAACCCAAATATTTATATATTTATGTATGTATGTATATATGTATAAAATTTTTCGATCGATACGTTCGCAATCACATTTTTTTCCTTTTTCTTTTTTTAATAAAAATGATATCAATTAAAAATTATCCCGAATGGGAGGGGAGCGGGGAGGGGGAGAAAAGAAACGACGACGATAACAAAAACAAAAACAACAACAAACGCAATCTGAAACCGAAGGTGACATAAAATTAAAACTTTTGATCGATGATTATACGATACAAGAATAAAAAAAAGTGACAATACCTTATGACGTCATCATCATCATCATCATCATCCTCCGTGAATTGTTTCCTCATTTAGAACTGGGTGGTAAAGAACTATGATTTTGCGTTGATCCACCTCCACTCCACTGTTGTCCTCCGTAATAATTATCGTACTGATAAGACGAACCCTGTAAAATCAAATTTTTTTTTTTTAGAAAAATGTTATCACTGATAACGAAAACAAAACAAAAAAAAAACCGTTAAAAATAAATTTAAATCCCTCTACTCCCTCCCCATCTCCTCCACCTCCTCCTCCTTCTTCATCTTCTTTCCCTCATAACCTTCGAATTCTCATTCGTTTTCGTTATTAATGGTATAAAAATAGACAAAAAGAGAGAGAAAGAGAGATAGAGAGAGAGATAGAGAGAGTTAAAATACATCGTATAAAATGATAATGATAATTGTTAACAAAAAAAATTTGTAGCCCCTCAATTCCGCGGATACGTTATACGGTAACATAAATAAGCAGAATACCTGACTAGTTCGCACGTTTGTTTTTCCAACAGGTTTCATCGTGTATTTCTGAACTTCTCTCGATAGGGAGCTGGTAGAACTCCATCTAGATAAAGTTTGCTGCAAGCGCCAAGCCAATCATTATTTTTTTTTTTTTACAAAAAAAATAGCAAAAAAAAAGTATAAAAATAAAATAAATAAATAAAAATAACACGTGGTTTATCGATTTTTTTTGCGCGCGCGTGTGTGCGTGCGCGTGCGTCCGTTCGTCTGTCACTATATATAATATCAATTAAAAATATTTAAAAAAATCAATCAAACGCACAAAATCAAATTTTTAATTTCTACTACTATCATCATTCTACTTTAACTACGAATATTAAAAGCCAAGCCAAAACAACAACAACAACCAAAACAATTTTTTCTATAATAAAATAACAACAAACGGAAAAACAAAACTAGAAAAACTACAAACTACAAACAAAAAAAAAATTTTTTTTTTTAAATTACCTTTTTTTCCGAAATTTTTTCTTTTCGTTAATCGCGATTTTCCACACACAAAAAAAATTTCAAAAACCCTTAAATTAATTAATTATCGTTCGTTAATTGATATTTTTTTCCAACCCCTCCCTAATCGCGCCCTCCGCGAATAAGTTATGCACCCCTAAATTATGTACCCCCAAGTTAATAAGTCACTAAATAAAATTATTCCTAATTAAACAAAAATTATTAAAATTATTATTACTGCCGTTAAAGCACCGCGTGCAAAGTAATCGTAAAAAAAATCAATTATTTTTTTTATTTAAATCGATCGATATATCGATAGTTCGATAATTTTCTCCCCTTCGATAGAACAACAACGAAAAAAATTTTTTTAATAATAAAAAAAAAAACTAATAAATAAGAATTTTATGTATTTATTTATTTATTTATTCATTTTTAAAATTCAACAGTTCATCGTTAATATTAACCTATTTTCTATTTAATAATAATAATAATAATAATGATATCTTTTTTTTTTCGTAACAAATAAAAACGCGGATAATAATAATAATAATAAACACTATAATTAAAAATATATATTATAGGGGGGGGGATCCCCCCAAATTATCTCTGATGCAAAAATTCAACGAGAAAAAAAAAAAATTTTTAATTTTTACTCCCGTTTAAAAACGGAGAAGGGGTGGATGGTGGGTGAGTGGGTTAATCGAATTTTCCATATTCTCGTCAGCCTGCCTATTTACCCACCCTACCACCTACCGAGCTCCTCCCACCCCCAAAAAAAAAAATCATTTTACGAACCCGCGAAAGCGAGAAGAAGAAGAAGAAGAAGAAGAAACAAACAAACAAAAGAATAAAAAAAAATTTTTTTTTGAGAGAAAAGTAAAAGTGAAAAATCCCTTCCTCCCTTTCTTCCTTCCTTCTTTTCCCCACCCGGATGAAAAACCGCGAGAAAAAAAAGGGGGCGGGGGGGGAAGTCGACAAAAAGAAAAAAAGCGAATTCGAATTATTATCATCATCTTTGTCGTAACACAAATGTGATCGTAGTAGTCATCGGTCGCGTCGTAATCGTCGTCGTCGTCGTAAACGTCATCATCACCATCATCACCACCATCATCATCATCATCACTGACGTCATCATCGTACACTCTCTAAACTTTTTTTTTTCTTTTTGTTACCAAATTAATTACTCATCTTCTTTTTTTTTTTTTTTTAAATTCATGCGGTTAAGATGACGAACGATCTCCACCATGCTGCTTTTCCGAAACGAAAAGGAAGAAAAAAAAAAAAAAAAAATTAGTAAAATAAAACCAAAACTAATCGACGAGAGAATGATTTGTGAATTTGTTTTCCTTTTTAGTCTTTTCTTTGTCTTTTTCCCGAAAAATTTTCCGACCATTTTCTCTCTCTCTCTTCGTTTAAACGAATAAACCAAAAAAAAAAAGACAGAAATTCCACTGCGGCTACATGTTATTTTTATCAATTTTTTTTATTTATTATTATTATTATTTTTAGCAATTTCCAACAGCATTCCTGTGCAAAATAAGATGACCCCATTCATTAGTTAGTAAAAAATTAGTAAATTAGTATAAAACCGTCTGTTTAATTAACAGAAGCGAATGAAAACAAGCACAAACAACACGTGGTTAGTAGCGGTTGTTTTCCCCCACCGGTCACGCAAAATGTGTGCACATGCGCGAAGTATTAAACAATGCCAAAAAGGAAAAAACCAAATGGCCGCCCAACAATTTAGGTTTAGATTAGTTTGGTTAAACATAAGGAACCACCACATTTAAAATAGTAAAAACGAAAAAAAAAACGAAAGAATTTTGCTGTCGTCCGAGTGTCTTTTCTTCATTTTTTATAAAATTTTTTTCCTGTCGCCTAAAATCGTTGCCCCCTCCGATGTGAATGACGTCAAAACTCGTATAAAAACGATTTTAAAAAAAAAAAGGAAAAACCAAAAGATGTTGAATAAAAAAAAATTTAAAATCGATCGTTTTCTAGTTTAACTCACCTGTTGCTGCTGCTGCTGTTGCTGTTGGTGCTGCTGAACCGATTCCGAATTATCGTTATTTTTACTCGAAAGTGGTGAATATGATGAATTATTTGTTAGAAAATCCGTCGAAGCGTTTTCGTTTCCTTCGACTTTAACAAAAAAAAAAAAAAAAGGAAAAAAAAATTTTTATTTTTTTTTATCGTTAAATGTAAATTTTCTTTTTTTTTTTTTTTTTTTTTTGTCGCAAAAAATCAATTTCACGGTTGCTTACCCGGAGCTGGAATGAAATAGTTTGTCGGTATCTGAGAAGAATAATTCATTGTTGGAAATAAATCGGGAGGAGCGACAGCGGGACTCGGTGTCGTCGCCGATCCTTTGCTCAATACGTCAACGTAATTCGACTTTAAACCTTGGAAAAAAGAAAAAAAAAATAATAGTAATAAAAATTGCCGTTTGTTTGTTTCCGTTTGTCTCATCGAGACGCGCAAAAGCAAACAAAAAAAATTCTTCGTTCGTCGACACTTACTTTTACCGCGAGTCATTTTATATTTGTTCGGTCCGGTTGGTGGTAAATTTCCAGCTGGTGTCGTCGTCGTTGTGGTCGCCGCCGTCGCCACCGCACCCGCACCTGCTGCCCCACCTACCCCCGCCGATTCTACGTAATCTACCATTGAATTATCATTACGACCCGAATGAGAATTGAACGACGTGTTTGAATTAGACGGCACGACTCCGGGTGAGAGTTTCGGAATGTTTTCCCCGGCTAAATCGGAAGCTTTCGGAGGAGGAGGAATCGCAGACACGGAATCATCTTCGTCTGAATTTAAATTAACCCAACGATTTTTATCTGAATCCCACACGATCTGCAAATTTTCCAAAAAAAAAAAAAAATTTTTAATTAATAATAATAATAATGTTTCGAAAAGAAAATTTTCTCTCTTTTCCAGTTTTGAGGAAAACTCACCGACGGATTTTTATCGTCTGGTAATATCATTTGATTTTTAGGCCGGAAGGGTAACTTGTTCCATATTCCACCGAACCAGGAACCGGAACTTCGATTGTGTTTGTTACCATCCTTTTTAACTCCTCTCGATTTCGTCGCGTCATTTCCTATTCTATCTTCTACTGACGATTGACTCGTCGTACGCTGTTTGTTTCCGGTCAAAGGCGTTTGATGTATCGTCGGCACCGCTTGTTGTTCCGACGGAAAACCCTGCGACAATAAAATTTTTTTATAAAAAAAAAAAAAAATTCATTCGTTTCCGACAAATATTAATAATAATAATGACAATTCGATTTGTATTTTGTCATTTTTTTACGCGGGTTTTGTGCTTTTATGCGGGGGGTTTTTCTTTTTCTTATTTTTTTTTTTTTTATGCACAAACTAATAGAAAAAGAAAAAAAAATTTACTTAAATGCAAAAAGCTTCGTTAGAAAAAAAAAAAAAAAAATTGAAATTTCTACTTTGCTTTGATTACAAAGAGTGTATGATATAAAAAAAAAAAGATTCATAAAAATTACGACAGGAAATAATTAGATTTAATTTTTTTTTATTTTTAAATTTCGCATTTGCGGAAATGTTAATTTATTGCTACAGGAAAAAAATACAAGCCTTTACATTGTGTCTATCGTATTATCAATTTAAAAAAAAAAAATCTACGGTTGACGAACCCAAAAAAAAAAAACAAAAACAAATAAATAAATAAATAAAAAAACTATAAATTTATCGTACAGAGTTTTTAATTAATTGTTTTTTTATATGTTTTACTAACACAATATCGGAAAACGTATATAATGGCCGCACCACTACTACTCCTATACAAAAATACGTAATACTTTTATTTTACGTAAACAAACACGCGCACACACTCTCTCACTCGCTCGCCCACACGCACACGCACACGTGCTTTTTTCTCTCGCGGAACTAAAAAAAAAAAAAAATTCTAACGGTGGGATATGTTTATTAACGATAATAATGATAACGCGCATGTGTATTTGAGGCACTTAAATGTTGAAATAGAAAAAGTTTTAGGAAAGTTTTAGTGAAACTTTTCCGCAATGTTTAACTTAGCAAACAATTCGTGTTGCCCATTCGAACTACCTAACGCGCAAAGGAATTAAAAAGTCAAATCCCGAAATTGTTCGCTTTCGGCGGGAAACGATTGTTGGAAAACGTAATTTCCGATTTTGTTTCGCCGTCACTTAAAGGCACGTCTATTTCGTAGGTTCGAACTTCTGACATGGGTATGACTTTATCGGTCACGTCTTTTTCGATCACGATACGATTTCTCGTGTCGCCGCCGAGTGGCATGTCTATGGGAAATGTACCGCCGAAAACGATCGGCCTTTGCCCGATAATCATCTCTCGCTTTTCCGACCTTCCGGAATTCCCGAACAAATTGAATTTCAAATTCATCAAAAGTTTTTTACTGAGATTTTTCCCGTATATTTCGAAACTTCGCGGAAGTTTACGAGAATTGAATGCGAGCATGGACGCCGTTTCGGCCGTGCTTTGTCGCCACAAAGCCGATTTGTCGACAATTTCCTGATTCGCGACGTTTCTCCCATTACGCAACAAATGAGAATTTTCCGATTTGAATCGCGTGAGCAAACCCGCGTTGTATTTTTTTTTCTTATTAAAATAAACATCCGAGTCGGAATTGTTGTCGTCCAAGTAGTCTTTCAAAAACAGTCTACTTCCACGTCTGGCTCTGACTACTTTTTTCATCGGTTTATTTAAAAATACGTCATCGGGTGATTCTGCCACGTCGGAACTTTCGGATATTTTCTCCGTTTCTCTACTGTCTTCTCCGAACGCATCAACAATTTTATAATTATCGTTCGCTCTTTGAAGGCACCACAACGACAGAGATTTTCTTTTCTTGTTCTTTTCCTTATAATTGAATTTTTCACTGAACGAATTGAAATCGTCCGAATTGCCAGCTTCGTCTACGTCTCTTGAATCTTCCGAACTTCCGCCAAAATCTTGACTCAAATATTTTTTTTCCTTGAATCTAGATTTGAACTTTTTTATTTTGTCCATTTGGATGTTTCTCAGCGAAACCTCTTCGTTGTTTGAATCTTCGTTGTCCGTGTGATTCGACGACGAACTTTCTTTTCTATCTCTCACGTTAATAAAATAATTCGGATTCGGCACGGTGAGACATTTCAATTTTGAATTATTATTATTATTATTATTATTCAACGACAAATCCGAATAAACAAGTTTATCACGCGAATAATTGAATAAAGGAAACAAGTGGGGGGTTTTTAAATATTTCAACGATTTTTTCGTTTGCTTAACTGAAGGTCCGAGAGAAAGAGATAATTGTTTGGTCAATTTTGGCGCCGAGTGACATCGATGGGAGTCTGATATTAATAGGGTTGATGTACTTACAGATTCTGACTTTTCGGATTTCTGCACGGGCAGCATTAAAAAGAAATAAAAAAAAAAAGAAAAAAAAAGGAAATATGTAAAAAATTCGGTTTTCTTTTGTTTTTGTTAATCCGTGTTTGTGAAAAAACGTAAAAAACTAATAAATAATCTTCGCTATAAATACCTGAAAAGGACAAACTCAGGTAACTATTTTCTCACCTCTTTTCTATTCATGTCGTAATAATTATAAATCGAGTGATTTTGACTTCCATCCGTTGTTTCCACTCCTAATCCGGATAAATATTCGTTTTCGTTCGGCTGTTGAAAATCCGACGGATCCGTGACGCTCGGTTGAAGTTGATTCCACTGATTTTGATTATTATTCCAATAAGGATGACTTCCGCTTTCTGTCGACGGTGTGTTAACCGGTTGTTCAACCGATAAAAAACCTTTTTAAAATTCATAAAAAACTTTTTGTTAAAAAAGACTAAATTACATTTGTTACAAGGCTAAATTTTTTTAAAATTTAAATTACGAAAAAAAAAAAAAAAATTATAACCTTGATTGTTAGTCGGAGGAAATCCAGAATTTTTCGGATCTACGTGATGCCATTGGGGTTGCTGTTGCTGTTGAGACTGTTGTTCGTAATAAACGTCTTGCTGATTTTGCCATTGTCTTGTATCGTTGGCTGGATCCAAGGACTGAGTCTGATCTAAAGGTAAACTTTGAATTCCCTCGTTTTCAGAATATGTTGTCAAATTTGAAATCGAACCGAAACCGTCGTGTTGAAGCAAACCCGCCTAAAAAAAAAAAAAATTAATAATAAAATTATGGATTCGAAGAATCTCCCTTTAATAAAACCAAGATGACTTTTTCTTACTTGATAATCATTTAAAACGCTAGACAACTGAAGGAGCCATTCTGGATCGTTAATACTTCCTTCGCTGCTATTATAAACGGGATCGTAATATTTCAACATGCTTCCCAAATTGTAAACTTCTTGAATGAAATATGGCGGATATTTAGCGGGAAATTTCGCGATCGTATTCGCAATGACTTCGACGTAATGAACTGCTTCCGGCAACAAGCCGACTTCGGCCAACCTTTTTGCCATGATTAACTTATAAACCTGAAGTAGAAATGTGTCGGAAATCAATGACGTCCTCACAATTATTTAATTATACAATGAAAAAAAAAAGTACTTACTTGAAGGTGATGTAGCGCAAAGTCAGGATCGGCTAAACTACAAGCAAATTCAAAAATTTCAGTTGCAAATATGGCTTCGTTACTAGCAAACTGTTGAAAGGGTAAAGTGTGAGAAGATCCAATGAGAACAATTTTGCTTGTTTTCTGTGAAAATGTACCGAATTCCACTTGAGCCATCAGATAGCAAAAATGAGCCGCGTGTAAATTTCCACGCGAACCCAAAGTGTCTCCCAATGTGGTAACAGCTTTTACGTCTAAATCCGGTCTAGCCGTGGAATTAGAAAGTATCATAGCCAAGTGAGGTCTCCAGTCGCCCCATTTTTCATCAGCACAACACTATTTAAAAAAATTTTATTCATTTACGATTTTCATTTTAAAAAAAAATTATTATTATTTTTATATCGTTTGTCTTACCGTTACGGCAGCCGGTTGTCTGCCGGACATCAATTGATATAACGTTTGAAGAGGATCATTCATTTTCAAACCGTTTGCAAAACGAGTTAATACGCTTGCATAAGTCCTTTGATCCATTTTCGAAGCCAAAAACAATGCGTGGCCCCACAAACCGTTTTTCATTGCCCACTCTATCAAAAAAAAAAAAAAAAAAAAAAAAAAAAAAAAAAAAAAGTTTTCGTATGAAAAATTTTGAATAACCCTCATTGATGAAATGAAAAAATTTTTTTTGCCATTACCAACCTAAAGCCTCTTTTGTATTTCCGTAAATTAAATAATCTCTAAACTGATTCGTGATTTCTTCTTCGGTTAAATCTGATTGCGCTCCATCATCTGATGGAGTGGATTGTGCTCCGGTTGATTGTTGTCGTGAAACGGATGCACTGCGATTGCACATTAATAATTCTGCTATGTCGGTTCCAACTACGGTCTAAAAAAATAAATAGGTCGTTTGCAAGGGGTAAAATTATTAACTCACGCATCAAATCGTAATAATATTATTTTCCTTACTCCATTTTGTCGTATTAACAGCATGAGGAGTTCCCAAATGAGTTTGTAAGATTCTTTGTCGTAAATATTCGGATCATTATCGGCTTCTTTAATTTTACTTTTACAATATCTTAGAATGTTATTTTTATGAGTCACGCCCCTAAACATGACGTTAAAAAAAAAAAAAAGTTTTTTTAAAAAAACAAAATCACGCATAAAAAACTCGTTGCCAATAATTTGAGCATAAAAAAAACAAAAAAGAGGAAAATTTGCTTCTTACTTTATTAAAGGTCCCGGAAAGTTTAAGAATTCCTTTCTAACATTTTCGAAACAATTTAAATTCTCGTGGATTTCTAAAATGGCGGGTTGACCGTCTAGCGGATAGTGAGCCAAAATTTTAAGCAATTGTCCTCTCGGAGTGAGACTTCCTACAACCCAAAAAAATTGTATGGATTTTTTTTTTTTAATGTCTTCGCGATAAAATAATAATAGTGATAATTGACAATGCGATTTTACCTTTTACGTGTGCTGTTGTGAATTTTGCCGGCGTTAACCTTTGTATCGACTCCATTTGCAGAGACGAATCTAACTTTCTGAAATTATTTATTTATTTATTTTTAAATCTAAATATTGTACGGTTGGAAAAAAAAAAAAACAAAAAAATGATTACAAATGAATCATTGTACAATCACTAATTTTTTTAATCTCTCATTCCAAATTATAACCTGAAGCAATTCACTAAACGCCAAGTCGACAGACAGACAAAATGCATTCATTTAATACTAAATATTTTTTTTTAACAAACAAACAAACAAGTGCACGTTCCAACCAACTAAAAAAAATTTTTTTTTTTTTTCGTTTCCAAATAATTAATTTAACTGTAAGTAATAAATAACGATAAACGAAAAAGAAAAATAAAAAAGAAAGAGGAAAACGTGGGAAATCATGCCGTGAAACAAATGCAAAAAAAAAAAAAAAATAACCAAAAATATACTACGTTCTAATAAAAAATAATAATAATAATAATAAGGTGCTAAAAAAAAAACATGATCAACGATATTAAAAAAGATTATTATTGATTGAAAGAAAGAAAATCGATCCCATTTGAATAAGATTGAAAAAGGTGTGTGAAAATTAGAATCTTTTTTTGTACGCATAAACATAATCATGAAAATTATACAAAGAAAGAAAAGAAGACAAAAATAAGAAAAAGGTAACAAAGTACTGCTGCTACTACTACTACTACTACTACTACTACTACTACTCCATTAGTGATATTATGCGAAATAAATAAATGTAATTAAACAAAAAAAAAAAAAAAACTATTATTGCTGTTGTTGCATTGTGATGCTGGGTCGGAAAAGTTTCAGAGTTGGTTCAGACTAAATAAATAATAACTAAAGGGAACTAACTCTCTTTTCTCTCACCTCGCCAATTCGTGGTCATTCGTATCAGATGAATGACTGTGATGGGGATAATTCTGTTCAGAGATATACGATCGATAACAGGGATACCCAAAAGAAAAACTTGCATCTGTTTTTAAATATCTGAAATTAACAAATCCAATATCGACCCACATGGATTTTTTCCTTGTTTTTTTTTTTTTTTTTTTTTTTTTTTTTTTTTCCCACGTGACTGACTCTTACCGGTCTTTATTTTCATCGTTTGCTGAGCTCCGACCCGAGTGAACGCTACCTCTGTCATCGGTGTACGTTCCATCGAATGTTCCCTGTTGTGAATGAGCATAATATTTACGGAACCATTCGGCGTAAGCAGCCGGATTTGTTCTCCTTAAATTTTCGTAATATTGATAGTAATAATTGTAATAGGCCGGACTGTAGTTGTACCCTGTTTTTTAATGTTAAAAAATTTTCAAGTAAGTCTTTAAACGTCACGTTTTCTAATGTGATGCAAAAAAAAAAAAAAATAATAATAATAATTACCCTGGGCGTAATACAAGTCTCTTTCCATTTTCCCTTGTCTCCTATAATGATCATTATCTCTACTCCTGTCTCCGTCGTAATCGGATATAGACCTATGTTTGTAATCTTGCATTGAATCGTTTCTGCTTGAAGGCCGAGATCTTCAACGAAAAAATTTTTAGATTGTTATAACATTCACATTATATATGCAATTAGTAATAAAATACCAGCAAGGGATACTACCTTTGAATGTATTCATCTATATCATCCCTTCTCCTATAGTAATCAGATTGTCGATCTCTTTCTTTTCCCAAACCTCTGTCGCTATCACGATATCTCTCTCTTTCTCGATCGCGATCTCTATCCCTATCCCGATCCCTATCTCTATCTCTATCTCTTTCTCGGTCCCGATTTCTGTCCCTATCCCTATCCCTCTCTCTGTCTCTATCTCTATCCCTATCCCGATCTCTGTCTCTATTTCTATCACGATCACGATCTCTATTTCTATCTAAATCTCTATCGCTGTATCCTCCTCGCCTTCTACTCTTTCCAGAACTCCTTTAAGAAAAATTTCACATCAATAAAAAATTAAATAAAAGTTTAAGATTGAAAAAAAAATTATAACAAACCTTTCATCGTTTCCAGTGGGTGATTTATCCGTTCTGGCAGATCTCGTACGACCTTCCCTTCGAGAATATGGCCGATCATAATCATCCTTATATCTTGACATGCTACCCCTCTCCCTATCGCTATAATACTCATTTGTTTCGTCGTCCTCATCATCCGAATAATCATAACTAAAAAAATAAATCACAGATCGAATCAATTAACACCCAAATCGATATTCGAAAAAAAAAAAAAAAAAAAAAAAAAAAAAACCAACTCGTTATGTCTTCTCCTATCCTCTCTGTATTCTCTCCTTCTATTCTTATCTTCTCTGTATTTCCCCGGTGATTCTTTTCTTTTTTCCCTATCCCAATCTTTTCGATCCCTTTCTTTCACTCTTCTTTCACGCTCGTCATTGTATCTTTCACCCGACGAATCTTCCCTTTCCCAATTTCTATCCCTTTTATCATAATAATCTGAGTCTCTATCGTGTCTCCTACCGGAATCCTTATCATTTTCATCACTAGACAAATCCTCCCGAAGTTTATCCTTTTCTTTTACCTCTTTTCTTTTTCTTTAACAAAAAAAAAAAAAAAAATAATCAATTTTAATAAAAAAAATTATTTTTATTTTAAATAATTTCCGATAAGTTTTTTTTTTTTTTTATCAGAGTCGTCACGTCAAATAATAATTTTAAAAAAAATGAAAATTATAATAATAATTAATTAATTAATTTTTTTAAAATTTACAAACGTCAATAAATTTAAATTGAACGTTACATTTATAACATCAAGCAATTATATAATAATAATAATAATAAAAGAAAGGAAAAATCAATTTTTTTTTAATGTCCGATTACTCCGCAAAAAGAAAAAAAAAATATTAAAATTAATTTTATTATTAATATTAATTCTCTTCGAACAAGGACGAGAAAAAAAAAAAAAGAAAAATTACGAGAGAATTAATCAAGCTTGAATTATTTCATTATGGAAATTTTTCACGGTTTAACTAACTAAACGAAACGAAACGTAAAAAAATGATAAAAAAATATATAATAATAATAATAATAATAATAATAATTGTGGACTTACCCTAATTTGTTTGTATTTTTATCCGCTGGATTCGGATTGTAATTGTCGACGTTGTCTGAACCGATTGTTTCGGACCTTTCAGACTGAAATTGCAAGCGAACTTCTTCAGAATTAATGGGTTGTTGACTAACTAATCGATTCCCTGAAAAAAAAAAACGCAAAGGCCAAATGTACTGCAAAGCTTCACGCGAAAAAACAAAAAAAAAAATAATAAAAATAATAGCAACAACAAGAAGAAAAAAAAAAATTTCCCCCTTTCCCTTCCCCTTCCCCCCCCGATTTTTTTTTTAATTCATTAAAAAAATTTACTTTATTCGATTAAGTAGAAAAAAAACAACAAACAAACAAACAATCACACCCAAAACATTTCAATTTGAAAAAAATATATTTTTTTAAGCAATGGAAAAACTATTTTCCTTTTTTCGTTTTCCTTTTTAGAAAGAGGAAAAAAAAGGGGAGGGGGAAACGAATTTTGCACGAGATTTTAAACTAAAAAAAAAAAAAAAAAAAAAAAAAAAAAAAACAAAAACTGGGCCACGGAAAAAAAATTTTGTAGATGACGATACCCCAATTATTCTTTCTCACGATTTTAAATGAAAAACTCAACGAACGGCATGCAAAAGTCACCTGCTTTTAAAAATATTAATAATAATAATAATAATATTTTTCCCTTCGTTAAAATAAATCTCTGGCATTTAAAAATCAAATTTGACGTAATTACATGAATGATTTCATGTAATTTTATCGTTTCCGGTAAAAATAAAAAAAAAAAAATCAGTTAATTCCTTTTTTTATTAAAACTTCCCAGTTTTAATCCTACTTTTTTTTTTCCTACGGGTTTCGTTCTTCTTCCCGAGATTATTTTTCTTCAGTTGCAAAATCACGTTCGACAATGTCGATCAAATTTATTTTTCTTCTCAAGTATTTTTTAATTTTTCACCGAGTACTCGGCGACATTGATGACATGCATTTACTCAACAGGCGAATAGTAAATGGTGCAATGGTGGAAAAATTAGATTTTCCTTTCATGGTTAACCTTTTGAAAGTGCATAACAAAATCGTTCATCCCGTGTGCGGCGGCAGTATAATTGCTCATCATTTAATACTAACATCCGCGCATTGTTTTTTCTGCGACGGTTCGCACGAAGCCAAAGTCCAAGATTTTTTCAGTCTGTACAATAATGTCGATTTGAAAAAAGCCACGTTAGACAAAGTCATTAGAGGGGTTTGCCACGAAAAATGGAATCCGGAAACGGCTTTGCACGACATTGCGATTCTCAAAGTGGAAAACGGTTTCGCGAAAAACTATCATCCGGTTAAATTGGAATTCAACGACGGGTACATGAAAGGGGATTTGAAAATATGCACGGCGATAGGTTGGGGAGAACGAACGGCCAGAACGAGGGCGTTGAAAACGAAACTTTTGAAACCCAAGTACGAACTCGAGGGAATCAAAATCAGCTGCATCGACAATTGCGTCCAATACAAAGTTGACATTCCTCTCATAAGTCTGGATACATGCACGGAATTCCTCGCGAGTTTATACTCTAAAGTGGTCGTATCGAAAAACGGAAGTCAATTGTGCGCTTACGGTGCGGGAGTGGATGCGTGTCAAGGGGATTCGGGAGGACCTTTGATGTGCGGTGAAAAACAATACGGAATCATTTCCTTCGGGAAAGGTTGCGCACGAAAAAATTCACCGGGAATTTACACTAGAATCAGTTATTTCAAAAATTGGATTGAAGAAACTAAAAAAAAATTAAGCGTTGACGATTGAATTTGATTTAAATCATATTTTAAAATAAAAAAATAAATAAAAAAAAAAAAACAAATGAAAATTTTTTTCCTATCTGTCAAAGCAAAATAAAATAAAAATAAAAAATAAATTTTATTTTTTTCCTAATTTCTCGAAATTTAGCTTGTAGAATTTTTACTTATGGATAATTTTATTACCTCGATCACGTTAAGTTAAGTCAGAGTTGAAAGAGTTTAGAAAAATTCGGGCTTTATGAGAATAATAATAATAATAATCATTATTATTATTCTGATGATTGTAATAACAACCGAAAATTGCATCACGGATTCTCACTCTCTTATTTTTTTTTTAATATAAAAAATAAAATAAAATTTTACCTGGAGTAGGCGACGACGAGGGCATGTTGGTCTGAATCGGATTAATACTAATTTCATCTTTGGCAACTCCCGTTACCACTCTTTGAACTCTCGGTTCCATCGACATTTGAATATTATTTTGAGATTCGGGACTACTGGATTCTCCTGGAATCATTCTACGGAGTCCCGGAGGCGGAACATCGCTTCGCCTCGAATTATTAGGTAAAACATTCGACGATTCTTCGATGGAACATTGTTCTTGATCGTCGTTTAATTGTCCGGGAACCATACGATGAAGTCCGGGAGGAGGTGTATCTATAATCATCATTAAAAATCAAATTTGTAAATACTTTTAAAAAAAAAAAATTAAGTTTTCATTTTGTATATTTACTTTGATTCGCACGTCGGGAATTAGATTCAGAAGCCACTTGTGATTCGTTTTCCGTGATTTGACCTAAAACCATTCGATCTAATCCTGGAGGAGGCGAAGATATATTTAAGGCATTATTTTGAGGATTATTTTCAATGTTGGATTCTATTTCGCCTAAAATTAAAATTTTTTTTTTTTTGATGTAAATTAAAACGAGTCACATTTGCAAGTTCCGTTATCGTTTGTTGTTTCGGAAAAAATAAAAAAAAATTATGGTGATTCTAACCAGGTACGTGTCGAGACAATCCTGGCGGAGGCATAGACTCAGAAGCCAATTCAATGTCATTGTAAGTATAATCTGTCTGTAATTGATCTTCGAGTTGTCCTGTTTCCAAATATTGGTTTCGATCAGGTCGGGAAGTCATTTCTTGATTATCCGATCCGACGGGCAAAGGTTTATGTGATCTTGATAATGATGACGTCTTAGAATTTTTCTGCATCGGTTTATTAAAATAAAATTAAAATTAAAATTACTTACGATGAACGAGTCGTAAAAAAGGAAAAAAAAAAAAAAAGAAAGTAAAACTTACCGGGGGATATTTCACAACAGGTTTAAAACCTGGTTTTTTATGTTCTTCGACATCTGGTCGTTCTTCATTATCTGGTATCGTTTCTTGATTCACTGTTTCATCGCCTACATCATCTCGTTTAGCGATATGCTGATCTGGCTGATACGAAACGTTTGAATCATTTTTTCGATCGTTTACTGATCCATTTCCAGAAAAACTTGAATTTACTGAATTATCGCTCGATAATGTGCAAGCATCCATTTGTTTGACTAAATTTGTAGGTTCGCTGCTATTGAAATTATTATTTAGATTGGATCCTTTATGAGAAAATTTTTTCTTTAACGCATACGGATTTTTTCCAGATTCATCTGTGGTCCTCGGAATCGTAGTGGTTGGCGGTAAACTATCGCTTACTATTACTTGTTGATTAGGTCTTTCTTCAGCAATAAAATTTTCTTCTGTTTTTACAAAAAAACTATTTCCCCCCATGTGAGAGCCTTCTTGATTTTGAGGTACTTGAGGTTGTTTAATGGTACTGACATCTTTGTTTTGAAAAGTACTACCAGGAGAATTATTAACACTATTATCCATTGTATTGTCATTAGTTTGATGATGACCGGAAGTGGAATCCCAAGCAGAGAGATCACTTGCGCAACCTTCCTGCAATGATGATGATATGTCATCCGAAGCGGTGTCTTGACTAACTTGACTCTCTACCGACCACTGCGGTGTTAGTGCTTCGGAATTTCTAAATAATTTTGAGTCCATTGGTCCGTTTTCATATTTTTCATTGCAAAAATCTCTCAGTGCTTGGGTGGTTAAGGGAGTTTTGCAGGAATCAGGTGATAATCTTTCGGTTTTTAATTCGCTATTATTAGACAAACTATTATTACTACAAAATGACTGAGTTTCTTCGGATTTTATGTCAAAGTTAGAATTCATTTCGCCTTCGCGGAAATTTAAATTATTCATATTTCCGGGAGACATTGGATTATTTAAAAATTCATTTTTTACATCTTGCTTAACATTTAAAATTTCGTTATTTTTTTCTGTATTAAAACTCAACTTTTCATCGTTTTCATAAAAATCTTGCTGAACTTCTACTGGTGCGGAAGCTATATTCTGCTGTAAAAGGGGTTCATTTCTATAATTTTCTACAGTATTTAAATTCATTTCTTGTTCAGGCGGCATCATTTGAGTAAAATTACTTCCTTGCTGAAAATAGTTTTGAATAGGATTGAATGTTTCTTGAACATTTTCACTAGTGTTCCACTTATTCCTAGAATCATTCGAAATATTATTATTGGCTGAAGTCGCTGGTGAATTATTACTCGATTCATCCCAGCCCCAATTCCATGGATCAGGAGAGTTAACATTTCCTTGTTGATAATTCATTTGTTGCTCTATATTGTAATAGGGTGGATTGGATACATTTACTGAGTTATTAAATGAGTACTGCTGCGAAATTCCTGGTTGAACCTGGTATTGTTGAGGATTTTGTTGATTTTGATAGGATTCAGATTGTTGTACAGGGTGGTTCCACGAGTAATTTTTTTCTGCATTATAATTCATCTGTGATGAATGAGATGGTGGTGGTTTTTGATAGTAATTGTTATTCCAATTTTGCTGTTGCTCTGGATATACAGATTGTGGTGCCAATGGTACATGCTGTTGATTCCATGAAACCTGAAAATTTTACATTTCGAAACATAGATATTCATCTTAATTTAAACATAATTTTATCGATATGCTTTTTATTTTCTGGCCTAACAAGAATTATTAAAAAAAAACTTATTAATTTAATTACAATAATAATACATAAGTCATTCAAAAGTCGAACATTACTACAAATATTTGTAAACAGGAAAAAAAGAAAAAAAACAAAACAAATCGACTAACCTGATTACCAGCTCCTAATTGTTGCCAATTTTTAACATTTAATGGAGCATCTTGTTTTTTATTATTTGAATTACTATTTTGAGTACCCCAAGAATAGTTGTTAGAATATGACATTGAAATATATTTTCTAAAAATTAAAACATATCAAATTAATTTTATTCTCATACAATATTAGATAAAAGAAAACATATTACAACAGACAAAATGTAGAAAACTAATAATAATAATAATAATAAAATTTGAACTTTTTAAACTAGGTTTTCATTTTTCAATGCATTTCATAAAATTAATTAAAAATATAGTAATTGGTAAAAGATGAAAAAGTCGAGAAAAAAATTAATTGAAAACATATAAAAACACTTATGTAGAACAATATTAGGTTACCATTTATAAAAAAAACCAAAACAAAATAAAATCATGTTTTTGTATTTAAAGAGTGTTTATAAATAAGTCCAAATTGATAAATAATATAAAAACAGTGAAATAAATATATAGCAAATATTTAAAAAAAAAAACTTTTTACCAAATTTGCCACCTCATTATTATTTTTAGTATTTAGGGTCAGCCTAAACTAAATGTCAAATAATATATGGCTGGCATTATTTACAATTAATTCTTTATAAAATAATATAACTAATTCAAATCAGTGAAATACTTGGAGGAAAAAATAAAAAGTAAAAAGAATTCACGAGACCTTAATAAGGTTTTTTAAATAAATTGCACACGTCAAGCATGACTTTAAATAAGTAGAACAAACTATTGAAGCAGAAATGTATATATATTAAAAACAATACCAACAGATGGTAACAGATTTAACAGTTTAAAATCGGGAACAACGTAAAAATATTAAATAAAGGGATGATAAATCTAAAGCCAATGATATAAATATATGAATAAAGTAAAATTAAAACAATAAAAAACATACTTACCATGAAAAATAATTTAAACATCTACCGACATTTATTTTGGGCACGTTCAATTTTTTGTGATAAGCAGTAGAAGGTGAACAACTAATCAAAAGAAGAGGTATATACGTCACACTTATTTTCCACCAATCACGTTGTAGAAAAAAAAGATTCAATAAAAAAATAGAAAGATGACGTGTACTCAAACTACTACTACTACTTTGAACTTTACAAAAAAACATTCTAGTCACACGTTATATTTTTATTCAAATAAATATCGGACAATTTTTTTTTTTTTTTTTTAAATAATTCCATTCATCATAAATTCGAAATTCATTTCCTAGGTATAAAAAAAAAAATAATAGAATTAATTTTTACAAAAACTCCATCATTCATTTTATTTATAATAAAAAATAATACGGAAATATTAAATTTATTTTTATTAATTTAAATTTTGGCGGGATTTTTTGGAAGGATAAATAGGATACGTGTGAAACGTTAAATGTAACCGAGTACATTAATTATAACACGTGACCTTAAATAACGTTTTTCAATGTTAAAATTTTATTAAATAAATTATTTTGTCAACAAAATAAAAAAAAAACGAATGATTATTACTACTATAAAATGACTTCGGTAACCTAAATTTAAGAAAAACAACAACAACACGTAAATACAACTTTTTTTTTTTAAATGTAATTGCGAAATCAAGGCCTTGTTAGTATTAATTAATTATTGAATCAAATGCATACACGAAAAAAATACTACTATTTATTAACAAAAAAAAATCCAAGGTAAAATACGAAAATGTTTAACAAATGTATTTACATTTCGAGAAAAAAAAAATATATATATATATGTAATTGCGTGATAAACTCTCCATATAAAATTCAAATTCTACTCCCACGTATAATTTTTATCATATGAGTATTTTACATTCAAAAAAAAAACGTTGCACCCAAATAATTTTATTGCCTAAACGAATATTTTAACTAACGGTTTATTGACGTTTCACACAACATTTTCAATTTTTTTTTTTTTTCTAAAATAAAATTATTCGATGAACGTGAGGAAACCATTTTTTTTTTTTTTTTTACAAAATTTAAAATAATATTTTAAAGGTAAATTTTTAATGTAAAAAAAAAAAAAAAATGATTGATTTATAGTACAGTCGAATAGTGTTTTGAAATTTTTACCAAAAAAAAAAAGGGATAATTTTTTTTTTTTTTTTAAATTATTTTTGTTTATATAATAAAATAAATTTTTTTTTAATGCAATAAACCAATCAATAAAATGTTTTACTAAAAAATGGATTTTATGATAAATTTTTTAGAAAAAAGTTATAAAAAAAAAAAAAATTAGTAAAAAGTTAGGGAAGTTGTAAGTGATGGATGAATGTAGTAAAATGTGTAGAATATAATTTTTGTGTTGTTGTCTCCCTTTTTATGTTACCATAAGGTAAAAAAAAAAAAAAAATTCTATTTTTAGTTAATTTTTAAATGACTTTTTTCTTTTTTTTTTTTTTACTCGTGTCGAATTTCTATTTAATTTACGGTTAAATATTTTTTCCCCTTTTTCTGTTCTATATTTCTCCAGCGTAAAATGCTGGAATACGTTTTAAATATTTTTTTTTATTTAAAAACGTTCTTCGAGTGTTTTTTTTCTCTGTAAAAATTTATAAAATACTTGAATTTACGATCGAATGAGTAAAACTTGAATATTTCCCGCCATTTTTTATAAAAACCGTTTTATCAATTGAATAAAAAAATAATTTATTAATTAATGAATTGATAAAAAAAAAATTTTCTTCTCTTGTTTTTAAATAAACCCAAAAATTATCGAGCGTAAGGAGAAAAATTATTATTATTATTATTGATATAATTCTAAAAATTTTTTTTAGTTAGGAACGAGACTTAATAAATATTTTTTTTTTAAATTTATTTTATTTATTTTTTATTTTTTTTTTGCCGTTTTTTTATTTTAATGACACGAAAAAATATAATGTATAAGAAAACATCTGCCCCTGCGATTTCTCTTTATTAAAGTTCAAAAAAAAAAAAAGGTTTGAATGATGACAGGAAATGACGAAAGACACGTTTAAGAAGAAGAAACGTTTAAAAAAAAAAAAAAAAGGTCCTCCTTTAAAGAATCTCCCCCCGAAAAAAAAAATTTTTTTTTAAAGTCGTAATTTTATTATATTTTAGGGGAATAAATTTCCTGTTTTTTGCGCAAAAAAAGAAAAGTTAAAAAAGCAAAATTTTATTTATAGCAAATAATTTGTAATATCTAATTTGCGCCTTTTTACTAAAAAAAAAAAATTTATTTTAATTACATAAAATAAATCCAGACAGAGAGAGAGAGAGAGAGAGAGAGAGAAAAAAAGTAAATAATTTGAAAGTTTATAATTATTATAACAAAGCTTATTTATATTTTTATTTAACGTCTAAAACAATCAACATATTGTTGTTGTTGTTGTTGCTGTTGTTGTTTTTGTTAAATTTTAGACTTTTGTAACAAAAAAAAGCAAATAAAATTTTTTTTTTTAGTTAAATATGGCGCTCACGGGTGGCGAGATCTTTTTAAAAAAAAATTATTTTTATTATAATAACATTTGAAATGTTATTATTATTATTATTATTAATATTTATTTACGATCATATACAAACGGACAAACACACAGATGTATACACAAAAAAAAACAAAATTTTTTTAAAACTTAATAACTTAATTATTGTTTAAAAAATAAAAAATAAAAACAAAAGAAATTCAATTTAAACAATTTTTTTTTAAATATTTATTTTTTAAGAAATTTTTATTTCTTTCTCTTTCTTTCCCTTTTTCCACCCCGCATTTCTCTCTCTCTCTCTCTCTCTTTCTTTTACATAATACATATAATCTTGAATAACTAATTAACTTATAGATTTTTAATTATAAAAAAAAAAAACTTTTTCGTTGACTTCGTTTTTTTTCCTAAGTCACGTTTTTTTCAAATTAAATTTTATAAAAAAAATAAATAAATAAAATAAAATTTTCTTTTTTTTTTTTTTCCTTCTGCTAATCAGGTTCGCCCCCTACCCTCTCCCTGCTTTTTTTTGCGAAAAGGAAAGGTTTTTGTTTATTTTTCTTGAAGGGAAAGCAAGCAAAATTTGTAAAATTTATCTTTGAATGATTTTTCATTTTTAAATGTTATTAACATAATTGTTTTTCCTTTTTTTTAAATTTAAATTTAATATTACTCGTGTTTATGTAGGCGCTCACGCACGCACACGCACGCACGCATAAAATTTTATTTTTTTAAAATATTTTGGAAAAAGCGGAAGCGGCAACGTTTTCACGCGTTTTTCTCTTCCATCCACGCCATTTTTTTTTTTTAATTAGTACTGTACAATTATCATTATTATTATTAACGAAAGAAAAAAATGTATTAATTAATTAAAATCAAAAGTTTTATGATAAAAAAAAAAAAATGGAGTTTGCGTGCGTGAGTGCGTGCGTGCGTGCCTGCCTTATAACATTTGGATGAATTTCAAAGGCCTTTTTCAATTGCCAACAGTCCATAGCGACGTCTCGACTACCAAAATTTTTAAAAATTGGCAGAGGGACTAAAAAAAAAATTTTTTTTGGGGGGACACGCTTTGTTTCTACTTTTATTATAATATTTTTGGAATTATTTTCTCTCTCTTTCTCTCTTTGTTTTTGTCTTTAAACCCGTAGAAAAGATTTTTTTTTTTTGTAAAGGTGACAAAGTGATTTAGTCAAAATGTTTACATATTGTTCACATGACACATAACGCGTCGTCTGTCTAACAAACAACAATACAAAATTTTATAAATGTCAAAGTTTAAAAAGTTTTTCTTACTTACTTTTTTTTTTTCTTAAACTAATTAATTAAGACAACAAATTTTATTTTAAAAACAAGTAAAAAAAAATTAAACGAATAGTTTTACGTTTTTCATGTTAGCAAACATGATAAAAAAAAAAATAAAAAAATTTAACTCGAGTCAGAGAAAAAAAAAAATAATTTTTTAGTTTGTCGTTTAAAAAAAAAAAAAAATATGGATGCAATTATATAATTATATCTGTCGTTAAGTTGTTGTTTTT